GGGGGTAGGTCGCTCTGTGGAAGTCAGGGGTGGAGCCTCCTGGTTCCTGGTCACCCATCTCAGCCGCCTGCGCTGTAGTCTCAGCCTGGACCTGGTCGTGACTTGGGAGTGCTCCACATTAGAGATTTAAAACTCAGACACCTCTTCTTGAAGCAGATCTGACGTCCCCCCAGAGCCTTTTTTTTTTTTTCTAGATTGGCAGCATCATTAAGGTGTATTTTACATACCACAAAATTTACCCGTTTTAAGTGTACAATTCAATGATTTTTGGTATATTTACCGAGTTGTACAACCATCACCACAGTCTAATTTTAGAACATTTCCATCACCACAGAAAGAAACTTCATGCCTATTTGCAGTCACTTTTCATTCTTATCCCTCGCCCCAGGTAACCACCACTCTGTTTTCTGTAGATTTACCTGTACTGGTGTGGTCTTTTGTGACTGGCTTCTTTCACTTGGCATAATGTTTTTGAGGTTCATACAAGTAGCATGTACCTGTACTTTGTTCCTTTGTGTTGCCGAATAACATTCCATTACGTGGACAGACCACATTTTGTGTATTCATTCATCAGTTGATGATATCTCGGTTGTTTCTACTTTTTGGCTATTACGCATAATGCTGCTATGAACATTTGCATACACGTCTTTGTGTAGACCCATGTTTTCTTTTCTCCTGAGTAGGTATCTAGGAGTGGAATTGCTGGGTCATATGCTAATTCTTCCAGAATCCATATTCCCTGATGACCACCTGACTTTCTCGTTGACTACTAAGAATTTTAGTACCTTGAGTCCCTAACTTTTTCTGTCAGTCCCTAACTTTTTCTTACCACCAGATGTGGTTAACATCTGACTGACTCTCACTAATAAACTAAAACCTGAAAAGGGACATATTCTAAGTGTGTATGTGTTTTGTGGGAGGAAAGCTGTAGGTATGTAGTTCCTACTATTTGCCATGTCCCTGCTGATGAGAATTTCTTGTTCTACCTAATATATGAATTGAAAGAACTATAAATAATCTCCAGAGTTGTTACTTCCTCAGATCATAGGAACATGTTTCTGTTTGTTTATAAAGATGATTTAGCTTGATGTTGACTGTATTTGAAAAACTTTTAGAAATTTAATAACTGTAGTTACTGTAGCACTTAGTCCCGTCGATTCTTAAGGTTGACGTGATAACATCCACTGTTACACATTATGATGAGGCATTGGATTTTGTAAGATTTTACACCTGGACCTTGGGTAGAAAATAATTCCATATAAATTGTATTACCCAGGTTACTAAACTAGCCTTACTCTGTAGAGATCTGAATCAAAATGGTATCGAGCTGGTTTTATATGAGCTGGTCTTCTTTTTTGTGTGTGTTTGTTTACTTTTACATAGCTCAGAGTGCCTAAACTACATTATATAGACTAGACTTCAGGTAAAAATCTGTTTGTCAGTGAACCATTTCTATGACTCTGTTTCCTGGGTTAAGTAGACCAAAAGCTATCAATAAATATTTATTAAGTATTTGAAGTAATACGCTGCTAATTCTAAATATTGAAAAGGAAACTTTCAGAGTAGGAAGTCTCCTTACTGCCTTATTTTTCTTTAAACCTTTAATAATATCCCTAAAAGGTAAAGAATTTATTGTTGTAGTTTCTGTTGTACAGGTCTAACAGTAAGATATTCGCCAGGGTCCGTAACTTCTGTAAAGTTTCTTTTCTGATAGGCATTCACACTACTATGTACTGTCACATGAAAGGTTTCTTGCTAACTCCCTGCAGGCTGTTTCATCCTAGGCGCCCACTGCAGACAGCAATGATTCAAGATGGCCTCATCTTCTGGCTGATTGACGTCTTGGAGGAGCCTGACTGCCTGTCAGACTACACGCTCGAGTACTCGGTGGCCCTGCTCATGAACCTCTGCCTCCGGAGCACAGGTCTCACTGTTGCCGTCCCCCTGCCCCCAGGCTCTGGAGTACCCACGAGCCTGATGTGGTCTGCCTTTCGTCTCCCTCCCAGAAAACTCAAAACAGAAAAAGAGTGTGAAGCATGTCCAGCTAGGTATAAAGCTATTGAATCCCTAAAGCCAAAATACCACTCTGGCCTTGGAAAGAATAATTTATATATATATATATGTATGTGTATATATATATATACATATATATATATATATATATGTATATATATATATGCAGTAACCACATTAAGAAGAGATTGAATTACATTACGTTTTTCTTCATTTTCATTGCATTATTCAAAGGTAGGAAGTGAAGAATTATGATCTGTTTTATCTGAAGACAGAGAAGTATGTTCCCAAGATTCCACAGGATTAAGTTGGTGACAGAGCAGCGACATTAAACCAGGCTTCCTGCTCTTAATCACAGTCGCCTTCCCCACTCCACCTCGTACAGACAGCGATTCCCATGTGACATCTCAGCTCATTTATGTCTTGATCAGTAAAGGGAGTGATTTTAGCTTTCCTGCAGGTTCCAACCCACTTAAATGATCTGTTCCCTGGGATGGAAGAAGCTTCCTTGGAGAGGTGCCACGTCCGGCCCATGGCTGACCTCTGACCTCTGTCTGAGAAGGTGTTGAGAAGGTGTTGGGAGAAGGTTACCTGGATAAATAGCTCAGGGATATTTGTTAGAAGCTCCTTCACCCTCAGACGCCTTGGAATCTGAACCACCTAACTGTGTGTTGTTGACTGACTAAATGACTTACTTCTATCTTCTCTTTTAAACAAATAGCATATGCAAATTTCCTACCTTTAAAACATTTATCAGATTATAATCGGCTTTTCTTTATTATCATCAGTTTATTTGCAGTGATTGTCATGATGATGTTTGGGATTCCTGAAATAGCTGGAGGATCTTTAAGTGATGGCGTGTGCACTTGGGGGGAGAGCATGGCCCTTGGCTCGTCCGTGCTTTCAGTGCAGTGAACAGCTCTGACCTCCTGAATAATAAGAACCGCCGCCACTTACTGAGCACTGGGAGTGTGCCGCCCTATACTGAGCTGCCAGGACTTCCCTGGCCGTCCAGTGTTTAAGACTCCATGCTTCCAATGCAGGGGGCGCAGGTTCGATCCCTGGTCGGGGAACTAAGGTCCCACATGCCGTGGCGCTCGGCCAAAAAAACCCCGAAAAACTGATGCTCTCTTTCTGTCTCATGCTCCTGTCTCCTTTTCTCATATTGCTTTGGGAAACTTTAGTGTTCACGTCCTGAGATACACTGAGCTACTTAGTTCTACATCGCCCTTTGAGGCGGACATTATAATCCCCAAGGGACCCCAGAGGAAGAAATTGGGCCCCAAGTCGGTGAAGTGACTCACCCAAGGTCACACAGCTCACAGGCAGAGGAGCCAAGGTTCATATTCAAGCCTGCCTGACCTGAAACTGTGCCTCTGAGTTTAGACATGTCCCGTTTTGTTTCTCTCTTTTTCTCCTAAAGGGAAGAACATGTGTGCCAAGGTGGCGGGCCTCGTGCTGAAAGTTCTTTCGGATCTGCTCGGCCATGAAAACCGCGAGGTACCCAGTCAGCGCCGTAAGCCCCGGGCTTGGGGGAGGGTGGCCTGGGGTACTTAACTGCACTTGCCCTCTTCCAAGTATTTGTATAAGCTACATCAGAGCTTTTATCATTTTTAAATTCTGGAACCCAGAGCAGGCGGCTGTTCCCTGGCTTCCCGTTTGTGAGCACAACTGCCGTTCGCTGGCCTGTACTGCTCCCTCCCGGGGGTTATTTTTTCCTCCTGGTCATCTCCCCCTGCTTCACTCCTCCCCCCATGTTGACACTCCTCTGTTGGGTTTAATATATGTCCATGGACATGTATGTAACCTGAAAATATATTTAATATTATGGGTGTGTTCAATTTGTATAAATAACATTGCCCTCTAAATCTCATCCTTTTCTTCCATTTTCACCATGTCTTTAGGACCTTTCTCTGTTGCTTTCTGTGCGCCTAGGTCCTTAACTCTTGCTGCTGCACAGCAGCCCCTTGTTGGCAGCCCTGCCATTTCACTTATCCAGTCCCCTGGGGTGCCCCGTTTGCTTGCCTTCACCCCTCTGTACCACAGCCGTCCTCAGCGGACGTGGCCGCACTTCCCCCTCGAGGGCCCGAGCCGGAGCTTCCCTGGGGCGTAGACACTCGTCACTGCTGGCTCACCCCATATGTCAGTCTTGGGTCAGAGTCCTGCAGAACTGTCCGCAGGATGGCCGTCCTGGCTTTTGCTCTCATCCATGTGGTGTTCTAGCCAATGGGAGGCAAGCCCTTTTTAAATAAAATAGAGGTCTGGATCAGCTAACACACACTATGATTATTCTCTCACCCGCTTTCTACAAATGCCTTTGTGGAAACCATGACATCACTTTGCACCTGAAGCCAAAACCTCCACAAAGATCTGCCCTCTTTCGCCAGCTCTTGATATACGTTAAGAGTCAAACAGAGAAAAAGCCAACAGGAAAAAAAGGATAAAGTGTATAAATGGACAGTTTACAGAACAGTAAATCTTGATGGTCTGTAAATATGAAAAGCTCTTCAATTTTGCTAGTAGTCAGGGAAATGAAAATAAACACAACTGTAGGATGTCTTCTCTTACCCATTAGATTAGCAGAAATGAAAAGTGGTAATAAATCCAGTTCTGGAAAAGAGTGGTGGGAAATGAGACCTCCCCCATTACTGCGGAGAGTGTATGTAGCATGCAGTCCACTCGAAAGGGAAAGCCCATTTATCAGGCGGCTGCCATGTACCATGTCCTGTCTGGCTTGATGTTAGGGTTACTTATGTGAGTAAAACATGGGTCCTGTCCCTGAAGAGCTCATGGAGAGACATTATAAGTTAAAAAAGATACTAAATCCTGGGAGTTAGCTGGTGGCCTAGGGGTTAGGATTCTGGGCTTTCACTGTCGTGGCCCGGGTTTAATCCCTGGTCAGGGAACTGAGATCCTGCAAGCCGCGCAGGGCAGCAGATAAATAAATAAATACTGAATCCAGCGCAGAAGCGGAGGGAGGTATGTACAGGGAGCAGAGCAGCCTGTCTGGGGGCTTAGGAAAGGCTTCCTCTGAGGTATGTCTGAGCTGAGTTTTATTTTTTAATTATTTGTTTATTTATTTATTTATTTTTGGCCTCACCGTGCGGCCTGTGGGATCTTAGTTCCCTGACCAGGGATTGAACCCGCACCCCTTTGCATTGGAAGCGCGGAGTCTTAACCGCTGGACTGCCAGGGAAGCCCCTGAGCTGAGTTTTAAAGGATGAACCATAGGTTTCCAGATAGACATATATGGGAAGAGCATTCCCAGCAAGATGAGCTGCTAGAACCAGGCCAGGGCACGTCACCGCGTGCTGTCGGGGGGGCGGCAGGGGGCAGTCCCTTAAGTGGAATCTGTGTAGTGTGAATTCCAAGTGGCAGGAAGGAAGGAGCAGAGGAAGATGATATAGAGGCCAGACCTTGAAGGGCCCTGTGTCCTACAGTAAGGAGTTAGGACTTTCCAGGTAGTTTCTACGGAAGGTTCCCGAGGTCGGGGGAGGGATGATTTGGCCCATGCTGTAGAATCTTGGCAATGATATGATGGTTGGGTTAAAGTGTGAACAGAGAAGGCAGAGAGACCCTTTTGGAGGTCTCATGTAGCCTAGGTCATGGGCGATGATGTCTGAACAAGGACTGTAGCGGCACCTATGGAAAAGATGGGTTCCCACTAAAGATGGCTTGGAGACCCAACAATGGAGGGTAAGAAGAGAGAGCAGTCAGTGATGCCTCCAAAGGTTCTAGCCTGAGTCATCAGGATGACATTAATTCAGCAATGACGTTTAACGGGAGTAAACTTCGGGAGAGAACGATGCCCTTGGTTTTAAACTCTTAGTTTTAGCTGTTGCCCTGGGGCGTGCCAGTGGAGATGTCTGTCATTTGGAGACCTGCATCCTGGAGCTCAGGGAGCTGTGAAGGTGGCAGTGGTCGCCAGCCAGGCTGTTCTCAAGGGTAGTGTGTGATGTTTGGGTTGTATGGTATTTGAGAACCTGAAAATGACTGTTTTTTCTCCCCTTAAAGATACAGCCGTATGTGAATGGAGCTCTGTACAGCATCCTTTCTGTCCCGTCCATTCGTGAAGAAGCAAGAGCAGTGGTAAGAAAACGTGCCGTGGGATTGGCCAGCTTCTGTCAGTGCCATGTTCAGAGGCTATTAGAATAAGGGGTTCCTGACGGGGCCCCAGGGAAGGGCTTCAGATAGCTTCTGAACTCCCTGAAACTGTATCCCAAATACATATTTGCAGTTTTCTGGGGAGAGAGTTTGTGGTTTTTATCAGATTCTCAAGGGATCCCAGCCGACAGGATTAAGAATCACAGCATTAGAAGTTCCTAGAAGGTTTATTTTTTGGAAAGTTGTAGACATTTTTTAAAATTTAAGTGACTCGGGCTTCCCTGGTGGCGCAGTGGTTGAGGGTCCATCTGCCGATGCAGGGGACACGGGTTTGTGCCCCGGTCCGGGAAGATCCCACGTGCCGCGGAGCGGCTGGGCCCGTGAGCCATGGCCGCTGAGCCTGCGCATCCGGATCCTGTGCTCCACAACGGGAGAGGCCACAACAGTGAGAGGCCCGCGTACCGCAAAAAAAAAAAAAAAAAAAAAAAAAAAATTTAAGTGACTCATTTTAATTGGGGGCTTTGGGAATGCTTATGGATTTCATAGTAGGAGAAACTTAGCAAGAAAATGATGAAATGGAGAAAATCATCACCCAAATTCACCTCCAGGCTTCCTGGAGGAATTGTGGCAGTGAGACCTGGGGCAATCAAAACACTCCTCTAATCTGCAGGCATTCTGATAGCAACCAGGTGGAACAGATAAAACTGATAAAACTGTCTGGTTGGAAAAGAGTTAACTGAACGTTTAATGTGTTTACTTTAGTGTTTATATTGGAAGCATAAAACAAACCTCAGGTGATTGGCATCTTCTTTTGAGATGACAGACGTTTCTAGATCTAATCAAAACCATTGGAGTTGGTCTTCCCTGGTGGCGCAGTGGTTGAGAGTCCGCCTGCTGATGCAGGGGACATGGGTTCGTGCCCCGGTCTGGGGAGATCCCACATGCCGCGGAGTGGCTGGGCCCGTGAGCCATGGCCGCTGAGCCTGCGCGTCCGGAGCCTGTGCTCCGCAACAGGAGGGGCCACAGCAGTGAGAGGCCCGCGTACCGCAA